GGAAAGTCTTGCACTGTGGTTCATCTTTTCATAATCTCATCAGAACTCTTAGATTCTTCTGTAGCTCCTCCTTTTCCAGGGAAGTTCACTGTTCTCTGAGGGGGGTGGGGGGAAGTTGGGGGGCTCAGATTTCTGCTGGTTTGGGCCTCTCCTTAAGAGCCCAGGTTTTCATCTTAAAGAAAAGTGGTCTTTATGCCTTTGGACTTCTTCAGAGCTGGGCAATTTCTTCTTAACTTTATTATTTCCCAAAAGCTCATTACCTGTTTCCCACCCCCTTATCTTGCTGCAACAGAGTTATCTGGGATTGTCCTAGAGAGCAGAAACTAAAATGAGCCTCTTCATTTTCTTCTCCTGAGGACCCAAACTGCCATCTCTCTTATGGGAGGAGTGCGACGCCCTCTGGCGGCAACAGACCATCAGCTGTGATTTCTAAGTAAGAGGCCAGCAGAATTTGGAGAGGTGACAGTTTCTGGAAACCCTGCTCCTTGTTTCCTTGTCAATATCATTAAGGCCAGAATTTGATGCGCTTTTTTTTCTCTCTCTCTCTTTTTCTTCTGAGGTGGGAGGGGGGCATACCCAGCGGTGCTCAGAGCTTACTCCTGGCTCTGCGCTCAGGGGTCATTCCTGACAGGTTCCCAGAACCATTACCTAGTGGGGACAATTCAAGCGCCTTAGCCGCTGGACTGTCTCTATATATAGCCCCAGATGTGATCATTTGGTTGTTGTGGTTTGCTTTGTTTGGTTTTGGGGGCCACAAGTGCTCAGGGCTTACTCCTGGATCTCCACTCAAGGATCACTTCTGATGGGCTCAGGGGACTGTATGGGGTGCCGGGGATCAAACCACGATTAGCAAGTCATTTGCGTGCAAGACAAATGCCTTACCCACCATACTACAGCTCTTACCCCTGATGTGATCATTTTTGATGTTGTGATCAACTAACCCAGGGGGATGCCTAGGTTGAGGAATGGAAAGTGGGTCAAAGTGAGGTGGGGAGAGGGTGGTGTGAAGGAGGGAGGGGGAGAGAGAGAGAAGAAGTAAGAGAAGAGAAAAGAGAAGAGGAGGAGGGGAACGGAGGGAAAGGAGAGGAGAGAAGGGGAGGGACAGGGGGAGGGGAGGGGAGGGGAGGGGAGGGAGGGGAGGGGAGGGGAGGAGAGGTCTCTGTCATAGAGGCAGGCTGGCGGTGGGGCGCAGAGAAGCAGAATGGAATGAGGAATTGCGCTTTGCAGGAAAGGAAAGTCAGTCCTAACCTTGGCACAGGCAGTCCAAGGTTCCTCACTGGCCTTGCAAGAAAAGAATTACAGGAGGAGAAAAAATGGAAGCAAAATAATCTGGACATTGATGGTGGGAAATGTACACTGGCGAAACATTGTATGACTGAAACCCAGTCAGTAACAACTTTGTATAACTGTGTATCTCACAGTAATTCAATGACACACACAGTGGGGTGGGAAGCCTTGTGCTAGCATCATGGGTGTCTGAGTCACCCTCTGAACTGCAGCCTGGCTCAGGATCCCCCCACCTTGCGAAGGATAAGGGGACCCTCCTCCCTCTGCCTCAGGAAGGCTCTAGGTGGGGATTGCCCAGCGAATTCCCAGTGCTCAGTACTGCATCACTGGAAAGATCCTTTCTTGTTACTTTTCTGGGTGTAAAACGGGTATGGGACCTGTTTGAACAGATACGAAAAATAAGAATAAGGTAAAGTCACTTGAGATCCATCTACACAGTTGACAACTTTGGTGGTTTCTTTTAGGTACTTTTAGGTATAATTGTTGCCAGTCTCCAAAAAATGAGGAGAGCGGGAGGTTAGCTGGAGAAAAGAGTTTCTACTTCTCTTCCTGGTCACCCGGCCCCCTGCACTGGGGAACTACCTGGCCTAGATAGGTCCTAACCTCAGCACAGGTAGTAAAGTAAAGTAAAGTAAAGGCCCTCCCGTTGATCGTCGATTAGCTCGATTAGCTCGAGCGGGCCCAGTAACGTCTCCATTGGAGACTTTGTTGTTACTGTGTCTGGCATATCGAATACTCTCGGTACCTTGCCGGGCTCTCCGAGAGGGGCGGAGGAATCGAACTCGGGTCGGCCATGTTGGCCGCTTGTAAGGCGAACGCCCTACCCGCTGTGCTATCGCTCCAGCACAGGTATTGTGGGTTTATCTCCTTTCCATCACAGGAGACAACTACAGGATGAGACAAAATGGGAAAGTCAGAACGTTTTTTTCTTTTTCCTTCTTTTTATTTTTTTAATCAAATCACTGTGAGATACACAGTTCCAAAGTTGTTCAGAATTGGTTTTCAGTCATACAATATTTCAGCACTCACCTCTTCACCAGTGCACGTTTCATACCACTAATGTCCCCAGTTTCCTGCTGCCAGCCCCCACCCCTGAAACCTGCTCTGTAGCAGACACCTCTCTCTTCTCTTTCTCAAGCAAGAAAGTTTTTATTGAAACCTATTTAGAAAAATATGAGGGGAGAGAAAAAGAGAAGTAATTGCTTCTACACGTACTTCAAGTCACTTTCCATTCCTCAACCCAGGCATCCCCCAGGACTGCTTGAGAGAACATGGGCTTTTAAAAATTTTTTCCACTTCTCTAGACTGGAAATAGGTAAGCAAAGAAACATAGAGACAAATAAGTAAGATGTATTGGCTTGAAGAGTAAGCCCTGAATGGCTTTCAGGAGAAGTTTTTATACAATTCTTCAAAAAAATTTTTTTTCTGGCGTTTTGCATACATCAATAATCTGAGTGTTGTCACAGAAAAGCTTTGCACTGTTGAAGGTCTCGTTCCTTGTACTATTGATGGTCTCTTCATACTCTCAGAGATTTTTCTGTAGCTTCTCCTTCTCCGAGGGGTTCACTCTTCTCTGGGGTGGAAGCTTAGATTTCTGCTTCTGGGTGGTGCCTCAGTTTCTCCTCTTCAAAGGGCTCAGAATTTATATTTCAAAAGGATATCTTTCTGCCTTTGAGCTACTTCAGGGCCATGAAATTATTATTATGGGAATTATTCTTCCCCAAAAGAACACTGATCTGATCCCCTTTCTATCTGCCCACAACATAACAGAGTTCTGACTAATTACACAGAGGCAATCGGAATATGCCTATTCCTCTGGAAGCTGCTTTACACTTCTTTCAACAATGTGTGGTAAGCATCTATCCAGTTATACATCTATATACGTAATTTAAATGTTTATTCTAAGGTTATATCTGCCTATAATAAAATATAAATAATAATATAATATATAGAAACATGATAATTCTTCCCTCATCTCCTAATTCCACTCACCTATGATAATTATTATGAACTATTTTGTGTATGAATTACTAGCTTTTGTCATTTTTTACTGCTGTTTCTGCACTCAGGAATTACTCCTGGCAGTATTTGGGGAACCATAAAGGGGATTGAACCTGGTTCAGTCACATGCAAGGCAAATGCACTCTCTGCACTTTTGCTCTTGCCCTAGATTTGTCATTTATGTATGAACTTATAGACTTTTTTACACTGATGTAATCATATAATATACTCTATCATCTGAGTTTTTTTCACTTTAGGTTATAACTATCCTTCTAGATCAGTGTTTGTATGTATTCAACAAACCTTTTGGTGACTATATAGTATTCCACTGTATATATGGATGAACCATAATTTATTTAACAGGTCAACTATTGGTAATTACTTAGACTGTTTCCAATATTATGACATAAATACCTCACTGAATACTTTCATAATACACATTGCTTTGTTAGTTGTTATTAAATAAACAGAAGATGAATGTTTAATGTTATCTTAGTTTGAAATGTTATCTTAATTTGAAATCTTAGTACTTTATTTTGTAAATAATGATAATTCAATAACTCAAATATTCTACCATATTGAAACACAAACCTTTTTTCTTGGTCTCTCTGCTCCAGAAGTTACGTGGAGTTTTCAAAACTGGTGAATTTTACCTTATATCTCATTTTTTGTCTGGTAGGGGAAAACTGGAAGATCCTGAGACAGTATGCTGGAGGCAAAGATACCAGCCTTTAAATGGATGTGGAAGGGTGGCCATCATCCCAGCTGGCTAGGACCATCCCCAGGTATGCCTGCAGTTCTAACGTAATTGCTCCTTTATTCTTCTAAGTGGTGTAATGTGGGTGATAAATGGCAATTATCTTAGTTACAGTCAGTTGCCACCGGTCCTGTTGGATCACACCCAGCACTTCTCTTTCATCCAAGTTACAGTTAAGGAGAAAACGGGGTCCTGCCACGGAAGTTTGCCAAAACAATGATTATGTGGGCTCCTCAGAAAAGAGAGCACACTATCTAGCGCAGGAAAAATTGAACAAGTTCCTCCGCAAGAAAATGCTTACCCATCCGCTTTCAGTCCGTTATTTCACTTAACTTCCTGCGCTGTCCACTTTCTGGGGCACCCAGGGAGTCCCCTGCTTTGTGTGCGGGTTTGCAGCCGTCCTCCGTGGCCTGCATTCCAGTGCGGGGGCCCTGCCGGTCTGCTCAGCCCACAATGTAACCCTCTGGCTGCTAGGCGCAGAGAGGACCCCCGGGTTCGTTTCCTTATCTGATCGGCCTCCCGGGATCCACTGCTGGACGATGGAACAAGGAAACTCGGTGGCAGGAGCAGAGATCTGTGCCGGCGGGCGTGACCTAGCCCCGGAGCCTGGACTCTCTCCCAGGGCCGGTTGGCTGCCAACAGCCACTGCAGCAGGGAGAGGGACGTGCTCACGTAATAGCCTCGACTTCACTTCGTCCGACCCCGCGGGATCGCGGCCCTTGGGGCGGGCCCCTCCACCATCAGGGGTTTGCCCAGTGCGCCGGGCCCCCCGCGGATCCGGCCGAGCGCCGCCGGGGAGCGAGCGCCCGGACTACATTTCCCGGCAGCCCTCGCGGCGCGCAGGACTCCGGCCACGCGGCTCGCGCCGCCGCCGTCCACCCCTGGGGGGCGCTGCGGAGCCCCTCCGCCGCCCCGTAGAAATCGCCGCGGCCCCGGGGCCGTTTGCTTCCTGTTTGTCGGAAGGAGGAGACATGGCGGCGACGCCGGCGGCGGCTACGGCCGGGGCCGGCCGGGGGAGACGCGCGGCGGCCGCGGATGCGGCGTGGGGCGGCTGGGCCGGCCGGCCGCGGCCCGGGAACATCCTGTTGCAGCTGCGGCAGGGCCAGCTGACCGGCCGGGGCCTGGTGCGGGCCGTGCAGGTAGGCAGGCGCGGAGGGGCGGGGCGGGGCGGACCGGGAGGCAGCCGGCCTGTCCAGGCCGCCGCAGCGCGGGCCCGACCCCTCTCGGCCGTCGGCGGGTCCGGCCCGTGGGCGGCCCGGGTGCTGTCAGCCGCGGCGGGGGCGCCGGGCAGCGGCCGCTTAGAGGCCTGGGGTTAGGGACCGAGCTGGGCTGGGGTGCCCGGGGCCGGGATGGCGTGTCCGAGCCCTGGGCCCAGCGCCTGGATCCTTGCGCCACGTCCGCACGTCTGAGGAGACCCTGGGCGAGTCGGCTGTAGCCTCTAGGGGTCTCCAGGGGCCCCCCCGGCATTGGACGGGGTGGTCATTTCCCAGCCCCCTCGCCCCAACGGCTCCTAGATGTCATTCTCTCGGGGAATTGCTTTACACACACTCCCCCCCACCCCGCACCTCACCCCCCTCCCCTCAGAGTAGGGGCCCCCATTATTGCTCAGTCACAGCCCCGGAATTCGGTTCGTTCCCATTACTTTCTTCGTCTGTAATTACATATTTCTTTGTTGTCGCCCGGCTTTCTCGCCGGTCTCCCACCGGAGGCTGAGCCCGGCGGCGGGGCCAGGGCCCGCATATGCTGGCCGGGGCCGCGGGCCATTGCTCCAGGAGCCCGTACTCCAGGTCAGGGGAAGCGGTAAGGTCCTGCCCTTGTTTGGGGCAAGTTACCGTCCTGTGCCTCCGTCGCCTCGTTTGTGAATGAAGAGGATCCTTGGTGTCCTGCCTCCTAGGGTGTTAGGAGGCCCAGGAGACAATTGTGTAACGCCTTCTGTGCTTTTCTGGTGCAGAGTGAGGACTGAAGAGTAGTCAGTTAATGGTAATGCTAAACTTGGCATCTGGCTTAAGGGGTAGCCATCTACCGGGGTGGGGGTGGTGCCCCGCGCATGTATTTCTTTTTTTTTTTTTTTACTGGAAGAAGCTACTGCTTTAAGGGTCAAGCGGGATAAATAAAAACCCTGAGCTCTGGTTCTTTCCCTTCCCCCTCTGCGTTCCCAGAATTTAGTGGCAGACACACCTATTAAACATCAGCTTTCTCATGAAGAAGTATTGAAAACAGACACAAGAAGCCAAGTTGTGGGAGTGGGGTAGTTGTGTGAGAAAGAGGATGAGACCTTTCATTGTGTATCTCTGTGAAGGCATTAAGCTTACTTTTGAGCCATTTCAGGATGACCGGTATGACTAAAAGGACAGGAAAGAGCAGGTGTTGTGTGAGTACCAGGCTGGGAAGGTGACAGGGGAAGAAGCAGTTCTGGGGGAGCTGTATTTTCTCGGGACAGTAGATAACCAGATGTAAGCAGCTCTCCCCCACATCCGTTCTTTCCTATCTGCCTTAGGAGCCTGGAAACCGCTTGCTCTATCCTTCAGAAAAGGGAACCAACTGTGCACATATTTGGGATCAAACATTGTAGCAGGGTATAGAGTATCTTTATGTAATCTTTGGTCTTTCAGTCTTTTGAATTAACCTCTGAAAGGTTAGGCAGTTTGCTTCTAAATACCCATTTTTAACAATCCTTAATGTCCTGAGGGCAATAGTCAACAGATGTTCTTTAACAAAATGAATGAGGCTATTTAGGACACTTAATTTGTTTCCAGTGAAAGGTAATTTGGAATAGGAGGAGCCTGGAGAAGCACTCCAGCTAGAAGGCTACTGGAATAGTCTTTTTTTTGGAGAGGAGAGGGGGTGAGGTTTGGGCCACAATCACTGGTGATCTTCTGGGGCTACTACTGGCAGGGATTGGAAGCAGGGTGTGAGGCAATTGTCTTAGCCCGTGTACTCCCTCTCTGGTGCATAGAACATTCTTGAGGCTGGTTTAGCACAGCAGGTGATTATCAGTAGTTGTATATGGTGTGAGTTCTGTTTTGGAGGTAATCCCTGAACTATCACTGAGGATAAAGTGGGACTTTTATTTCCCAGAAAGTCCCATCTTATTCATTTTCCTTACCTTGTCCTTATCACACACACCCACTCCACTCTGTCCCTTCATTGCAGGCTAAATTATTTCCTCACAGATATTTTAAAAAAATTTTTTTTTTCCTCACAGATATTTCTACAGCTAAGTAAGAATCTGCTGTTGGTGTATGGTGTACAGGAAAAAAATTGTTGAAAAAAATTGGTATTTTTTTGGAGTAGGGTGGGTTGGAGGTTTGGGCCATACCTGGCAATGCTCAGGGGTTACTTCTGGCTGTGCACTCAGGAATTACTCCTGATGGTGCTCGAACCCAGGTCGGCCACATGCAAGGTAAACACCCTGCTCTCTCTGTACTGCTGCTCCCCTCTCCCCCCACAAAAGGTTTTAAAATTGTTTCTTAAAACCCACACAACAAAGTTTATCATTCTAATTGTAAATACATAATTCAGTAATGGCAAATATATTCATATTTTCATGAACCCCCTGCACAATTTCTTCATCTTGCAAAACAATTCTGTAGCCTTTTTTTGGGGGGGCGGGGGCGGGGATACCCTAGTGGTGCTCAGGGCATACTCCTGGCTCTGTGCTTAGAGATCAATCCTGGCAGTACTGGGGGACTCCATGGGGTCCCAGGGATCGAACCTGGGCCAGCCACATGCAAAGCAAGCTCCCCGTCCTCCAGTCCTCTGTACTGTCGCTCTGGCTCCAAACTCTGTAGCTTTAAAGGTGCGTGGGAGACAGCTCAGCAGTCAGGGGCATGCGCATTATGTGTGCTGGGGTAGCACATTGTTGCTGCTACTCCTGGAGGCCTTGGTGGTCCCCACAAACCACCTGAACAGTTCCCACTTTGTATACCCTCGGAATGAACCACCAGCCAGTTTGACCCAGTATCACTGGGAATGGCACTGAGCCCTCTTGAGCACTGCTTGGGAAGTCCTCATACACACACACCTCAAACTAATCCCTACTTTACCTCCCTCCATCCCCGACTCAGTCCCCCATAGCACCCATTTTTTTCTGTGCCAGTAAATTTGAGTCTCATAGCTCCTGTTGTGGAATCAGACCGTCTCTGTCACTGGCTTGTTTTACTCAGCAGATTATCCTCAAGGGTCCTCTAGGTCTTTGCAAATGATAGAATTTCTTTGGGAATGCTCAGGTCTTGAAGTAAAAGGGACTTGGGGAGAGCCCTAGGTCTGCCTGCCGAATTGATACAGTGTTGGCTGAATTGATATAGTGTGGTTGTTGGACCATCTCTAACCTCAGTTTCAGTTTCTGTCATGGCAAGTAACAGTATCCACCTCTTGGTTGGAATTTAGGGAAACTGTCTAAAAGCTTGACTGATGTGTCATAACACAGCAGGTAGGGCATTTGCCTTCCTCTCTGCTCCTCTCGGAGAGCCCGGCAAGCTACCAAGTATATCTTACCCGCAGACAAAGCCTGGCAAGCTACCCGTGATGTATTGGATATGCCAAACACAGTAACAAAAAGTCTCACACTGGAGACATTACTGGGCCCGCTTGAGCAAATTGATGAACAACAGGAGGATAGTGCTATAGTGCCTGTGAGGCAGAAGGAAGGACTTTTCAGGCCTGTAGGGCCTGAACAGCACCCAGCTCCTGATGGCCACTCGATTACCTGAAATCTGAAATTCAGTGAGGACTGAGCCTCCTGCCAGGTCTGTGGCTGGAAAGTGTGGGAATTGAACCCCAAGTGCAATGGTGGGGATTGATCCCCAAGCCCTGTAAATTCCAGGTACAAATTCCAATCTGAGATGACATTGTCCTCAGCCTGAGGAGGACTAGGTTTACGTCCCAGTTTTGATAGATACTTTCTGTGCCTTTGAGCAAGTTATTTAATCTCCCTGTGGCTGTTTCTTGTAAAGCAAAGATAATCCCTGTGGTAAGATCCAAGTGGGTTGATATGTATAAAGACTTTAAATGATGTTTGAGGGGCGGGGGAGATGGCCCAAAGGGCTGGGGTGTGCGAGGAGCCCCAGAACCAGCACTGCATGTCCCGAGTGCTGGTCCCTGGCTGAGTGTGACCACAACTTCCCTAAATTATTATTTTTTTATGTACTTGCACTCACATAATATTGAGGTATTAGGTATCTAACATTTAAATAAGATAAACATAAACATTTGTGTTTAAGGCAGTCCATCTCTATTTAAAAAGAAAAGCAGCAATAACGACAAAAGTTCAGTCAGTGAAAACTGGAAGCCTCACATTCACTAAACGGGTTGACTGCTTAGATCTAAGAGATTATCACTGCTGTAAATGGACAGACCACAAGTGCGAGAAAGAAATCCCCTACAGCACCTGCCAGTAACTCAGCTCTCAAGGTGCTTGGCTGGTGTTTCTTTCCTCACAGTACTCAGCTGTTCACAAGGAAAACCAAATCCAAATGACTATTTTTAAATGAGAGTAAATGCCTTGTGAGACAACGTAGAGGTAGTTAAATTCCTTGTGAAGTTGAATAGTTGGAATATGATCGATTTTTTGTAATATTAGACTATGATTGGGGAAAATCTCTGGGTTTTTTTTTTTTTTTTTGCTTGTTTGGGGTTACATCCAGTGATGCTCAGGGGTTACTTCTGGCTCTGCACTCAGAAATCACTCCTGAATGTTTGGGGGACCTATGGGATGCTGGGGACTAACCCAGGTCGGCCGTGTATAGACAAGCACTCTCTCTCCCTTTCTCCCTCTCTCTTTCCTCCCCATGATTGGAAAAAGCTCCCAGTATTGTGGACTTGGTAACAAAACAGTGCCCTGTCCCATATTCCACCTTCTTGAGGCAGCCACTGTCCACACTCTGTAGTGAAAGAACCCAGGAACGGGAGGGGCAAGTATTTCTGAACTGTTTCGCTTGCTTTTTGTTTTCAGACATTTTTTCTTCCTCTTAAATTCAGAGCACACTGTGCTGGATTATCTTCGATTTCACCTTGTGTATTTACAGCTTCAATTGTTGGTATATAAATTATATAATTGTTATAGTTAGATTGTAGCATTTTGTATACTGTTTTTCTGTTTGTTCTCAAAGTTAAAATGTCCTTTCCCCCAGTTAAGTAT